CCAAGCAAGAATGCAACATCAGGGCAGGAGGAAGGCTTAACAACAACAAGAAGCAGCTGACACCCTTGCTTTGTGAAAGTGAGGAGAACTTACAGTACTTGTGGATAAAAATAAAGGATTGCATCCTTTAGTCTCGATTGCAATGCAATGTAAAGAAAGCCAGAATCCTCATAACTGGACCAACAGGTAGCATCACGATGACTGGAGAAAAGATGGGCGTTGTCAAGGATTTTCTCTTGCTTGGTTCCACACGCAGTGCTCATAGAAACACTAGTAAAAGACCAAATGGTGTGTTGCATTGGAAATCTGCTGCCCAAGATCTCTTTAAAGTGGTGAAAAGCAAGGATGTTACTCTGAGGACGAAGGTGCACCTGACCATAGCCATTCTGTCTTCATGAATGATTGCATTGAATAAGGAAGACCAAAAAATAATTGAATTATATGGCGAGTGAAGAATATTGAAAGTACCATGTGTTGCCAAAAGGACAAACAAATCTGTCTTGGAAGAAAGTACAGCCGGAAGGTTCCTCAGAGGCAGCATGTCTTCTCATAGAGTCTGCACATTTTATCAGCAGCAACCTCTCCCAGAGGAAGGACACCATGCTTCGTGAAGCAGAGAGGCACTGACGAAAAGGAAGACCCTTAACTAGATGGATCTACCTGCCGCTACACAATGGGCCTAAACACAACTGGGGGCGGTGAAGGACCAGGCAATGTTCTGTTCAGTTGTAAATAGAGTTGTTATGAGTAGCAACTGCCTTGAAGGCATCTAACAAGGGAAGAAGGCTGTATGTAGTCCAATGTGAGCAGAGCTTGTACTTGTTTGTCCAAGAAGAGCTATCCAATATCCATGGTAACAATTGCACAATACTGCTGTACAAGACTGAACTATGGAATGCTCTATGTATTAATAATGCAAAAGTTTAAAAAAATGTTCAATACTGTATGACTACAACGAGCTAAAAGTAGGATTTGTGTGATGGTCAAATAGAACATAGCTATGAGAAGAATTCAACCATACACAACTATAAGTGAGAGACCTGGGAGTTAGAATATTAAAGAGGGAAGAAAGAGATAGCAAGTGAAGTAATTTGAGAGAAGCATAAACCATTCATAGTGAGATGAACCTAAGGATAACAAAATGAAATGTCAACTGGAAAACATTGTAATATGCTGGATGGGAGAGATAATTACCAACTATGGTCAAACCAAAATTAAGTGGTGACATGACACTCTACTTGTAGCTTGAAAGATAAGTAGCAATCAACGCCAGTAAGCCAGGGAGAAAACATCTCAAACAAGAAAAATATCGATTGTAAAGATGATATTTTAGGAAGATAGTGAATAGCTTTTTGCTGAATGGGTGTAACGGAAGCATTTAAACTATTATAAACCATTTCTTCTTCTTCTTACTCCATTTCTTTACATTTTGTCTTACCACTTCCTATTTTGACCTATGAGAAAGATTTTTTAAATTAAAAAGTCCACATGGAAGAAGAACACCAGCCTGTGTGACCACGGGGTGTCGAACGGATCAGGTATCAGGCATCAAAGAACAAGAAATCATATCATTGTGAAGGACGGGGAGTGCCGATTGGGGACCCATAGCCCATCTGTAGGCAATTGGACATCCCTTTACAGAAGGGTCACGAGGAGTAGACGAGCCTGTCAGGGTACAGGGTAGCAAGGATGAAACATACAATTGTCATCTAGTTCTTAAATG